CCAGAGCTTCCTCATGGAGTGGGGGGAGCAGGAAGGTGGTCTTTGGAGCCAGTGTCCTGACTTTCAGCATCAGAAGTGGTGTGAGCTGCCTGACCCCTGACCATGCAATGGGCGTTGTTGTACACACCCTGTCAGGTACCAGTGAATGTTACCCCGAGGAACGAATGGGATAATGGATGTGAGTGCCTGCAGACTGCAGAGTGAGATGCACCTGTTAGAGTCATGGGAGGGGAGTGAGGGGCTCCGGTGGCCGGAGGAGAGGCTCTCCTAAGCCTGGACAGGTCTGAGGAGTAAGCTGAGGCCTGCCCAGCTTTCCTCAAGGTCCTGAAGGAGGTCGTATTTGCTCATTTTGTACTCAGTATCTACCACGTGCCAGGCACTGTGGTCACAACAGGTGGGAAAATGCTGGGCTTGGGGTAGGAAGATTCAGCTCTTTCTTGGGAAAGTGTCTCCTGGTCCCTCCAGCTTATCTTACATGTGATATATATATGATTCATACATGTGAATATTATTTTTAGTGAGCATTTGCTTTTAATATATATATAGGGTTCATAGGCCCACGCTCAATCCACTGAGCTACACCAGCCAGGGCGACATTGGGTATTTTTTGATAGTGAATTATAAGCAATTTCACATTTTTTGGTACTTTTCTTTCTTTTCCATAGTTAATAGGCACTCCTTCAATATGAAGAAAAAAGACTATTTAAAATAACTTACTTAATATACTCAGTTATAGATCACACCGGCCTGAATCTGTTTCATCAAGGACTCTGGTCCCACAGGCTGCTCCTACCCACCTCCTATCACTCTGCCTGGCTTGCCCATGCTTGTAGTCAGCTCTGGGCCAACCTGGACCAGATCTGCACTTTTGATTCAGAAGAAGACATTTCTTTCTTTTTTTTTTTTTTTTTTAAGATTTTTTAAATTTATATGTAGAGAGAGAGTAAGGAAAGGAGAGAAACATCAATGTGTGGTTGCCTCTTGTGTGTCCCCAAGTGGGGACTTAATATATATATTAAAGGCTGGAAGATTTTGGAAGGCCGAAGTGCAGGGCTGTCCTAGTTAGAGACCTTGCGGGGACTGCCAGTTGGGGAATTTTTTTCTTCATTGCTGAGCTTATGGTTCATATTTGAAAAAAGGTTTCGAGTCAAGTAATAAACCCACAGCATGGTGTGCTCTTGGCTCCAAACTTTTACTACAGGACAAGGACTCTGCACCAGTCCTTGCGGGTCCCTCCACGGTTTGTGCTGCGTGGGAGAGAACAGGCCTGCAGTGGGGCCTCCCTCCCAACTCTTGTTTCCAGAGGCCAGCTGGGGTTGCTGAGGGAGACGGACCCTGGTTCGTTCCCGGGACAGAGATCCTGATGAACTTCTACCCTGCCTGTGGTGGGAATTTCATCACAGTCTAAAATTTCTTTTCATCATTTTTTTCCTGGGTCCAGGCCTAATTTGCTGTCAGCTTTGGCTAGTGTCCCAAAATAAGAGGGTCATCTCTGTGCCTTGCCGTCTCTTCATGCTTGGCCATTATGGAGCTGTTCTCACCTGACTGCAAAGGCCACTCGTTCCTTGCCTTTCTCGGCTCCCTGCCCTGCCCTGCCCTGCCCGGGCTACATGGGGCTGGACGTTGGTGGGGAGGGAGGGCTCCTGGCTCTCTCCCTAGAGGCCGCTGCTCTTGGGCACATGACAATTCTGTTGCCCACCACACCCTTCAGGGCCGCAGGAGCTCAGAGGTGCGGCTGTGAGATGCAGCTGTGCCGCAGGCTCCCACCTGCACCCAGCTTTCCTCTTGGGTGGTCTGGCTGCTTCCCTTGGCCCCTTTCCTTCATATTCAAGACCTCCCAAATATCTCTGGGGTTTCCAGTCCCTTTTTTTTTTAGAGATCCCACACTTCTCTTTCCTGCTTCCTTCCTTTCTCTCCCAGGGAACCTTTTCTGCGTGTGTAGATTTTCTGTATCTTTCTACACCCCATCCTATCAGGGCCTGAACTTGTGAAAATGGAAACTTATCCATTTTCTGAGGAACCTCCCTTCTCTGAGACACTGACCATTGAATTCAGAATATCCTCCGAGGGGCCAGGTGAAACTGGAACTGTCAGGGAGACAACTTTTTTGAACGTTTCAAGCTGGCCTTTGTCACCTCCTGGAACCCCTTCGGAACCTCAGAACCAGTTACTTTCAGTAACTATGAGATGCTCTGGGGCCATCTCTCCTATATTCTCTCTAGTCTTAGAATTAGCATTTTCCCTAAGGAGTCCTGATTACTGTTCTGAAGAATGGCACCGGAAACCAACATCTAGCTGCTAGGTATACATTTTGCCAATTTGGATTGGAGGTATTTTGTTTTTAAATGGAGGTGAAATTCATATAACAAAAACTAACCATTATGAGGGGATCAGTTTAGTGGTGTTCAGCGCATTCAGAGTGTTGTGCAACCATCATCTCTATCTGGTCCCAAAACCTTTCCATCAACCAAAATAAAACCGCATCCCTACTAAGTGATTATTCTCTCTTACCTCCTCTCTGTTCTCCTGGCAACCAAACTTTGCTTTTTGTTTCTATGCATTTAGCTGTCCTGAATATTTCTTCAAAAAAATTTTAAAGCCTTTGATGAGGAAATCTACCAAAGGCTTTTAAAAAAAATATTTATTTTTAGAATGAGGGAAGAGAGGGAGAAAAAGAGGGACAGTAACATTGATGTAAAAGAGATGCCTCTCGCACGCCCCCTACTGGGGACCTGGCCCGCAGCCCAGGCATGTGTCCTGAATTGTACTGGTGACCTTTTGGTTCTCAGGCCAACATTCAATCCACTGAGCCACACCAGCCAGGGCTGAATATTTCATATAAACTGAATATTTCATATTGTACCATATGTCATCTTTTGTGTATGGCTTCATTCACAGAGTATAATCTCAAGACACTGGGCACAGTTTTTATGGTTTCACCAGGCTGTTACCTGCTCTGTTCTCTCCAGGGTTGAGCGTTTGGGCCTGTGTCTCTCGATATGTAACGTGTGATGATGGGGAGGTTGGATTCTAGCCCCTGTGTGATTTTCATGTTGGGCCAATGGGCAAAGGAAAGCACTTGGAGTTGGAGAGGGGAGGGGTACAGAAGTCTTAATCATTGTCATGACCGTTCCCTAGTATACTAGATAAATTAATCCTGGGTTTTGTTACCTCATCATTCATATTACTAATTTTTATGTCTCTAGTCAGTAGTGCTTTTACTAACATCATAAACATATGATGAAGCTTCTATTTTGTAGGGACTGAAAACAAGTAAGTCATTTTCTGCATGAAAACAGGATAATTATTAAAAAGATGATTACAAAATGTCAAAAATCCCTATTTTTGATTTTCTCACACTTGTTAACTCAAGGTAATGTTGGTGAAATTTCAAAGAATAGTTGACATTTTCAGAATACTATTCAACTTGGTTCCTTAATCACAGGGATGTCCTTGGCTCAATATTGCTTGAGAGGTTTCAAAGTGCTTTCATTCTCGACAATTCTTTGGCATCAGGTGTGCTGGGTTTAGATTGCTGCCCAAAGGTCTCTCTGTGGGGAGATAAAACATAAAGAATTATACTCCTAATGTGTCAGCTGGCTGCAGGCACAGGCTGCGCCAGCCAGCACACTTGTCTCCCTGACCACAGCCCTTGCCCTAAGGGGGAGATAGGGAACAAATCAGCCATGGGAGCCCCAGAGGTTGTAACTGGGTGATTGTCATTTGAGCTCTTCCAGAAATGAATGGATGGTGAAGCTCCTGGTAGGTGAGGGGACCTCCATGTGGAGCCAAGATGGAGCCTATTCAGAAGCGGCAGGGCCCAGAGATGGATTCTGGTGTCGGCCTTTGGGCCCAGAATCAGGCCACTGCTGAGACCAACACTGTATCTGGATGTTGGGGAACTACAGTTTTGTTGTTGCTGTTGCTTTAAAGCAGCTTGTGTTGTGCTTTCTGCCATTTGTAGCTGAAATATAGTTGACATTCCTCTGATCCAAGTCCTTGCTTCAAGGCTGACTTAGAGGGGCTAAGTGATGTGTCCAAGGCCACTCAGAGCCATGGAGTGTGAGAGCAGGAGGTAGGAAACCAAACACTGAGGCAAAGGCTGATTTTATCCCATTCTCCACTCTGGTAATTCATTTGGCCACAGATATGGGACTTTTGGGGGTTATGTAAAAATGAAACTGCACAACTTTTGATTTTGAGCCAATATGAAAGAAAGAAGTTGATTTTGGGAGGGTCAGATATCATGCTCAGAGCATGTTTATTAAAAATGGATCATCTAAGAATGATAGAGATTTTAAACTTCACTCTCTCATATACCTTTCGTACTTCCATCCTCATTATTTTCTTGATGTCAAAGTCACATAAAAATCCTCTTCTTTTCACCATCTTTTTTTTTTCTTTAAGGAAGCAAGTTCTCCTTCAAATTTCCTTTGGGTATAGGTAGACAGTTGGGGTTCTCCCCATGCATCACATGTTACATTTGGGGAGAATCGGTCACGGGGATATTTACTTGTGTGTCAGAGTGGCAGAGACTGAGAGGCCTTAGCACACACAAGGTGACAGTTTAGATGAGTCAGTCGTATGTAGTGGGCATGTTTGCAAAGAGACGACTGAGGCATATTCAGTTAATTATGAGTCCTCACGGGGGCAGTACACAGATTATTTGATTTTAAGACCAAGAGTAGCACTGGCTGGTGTAGCTCAGTGGATTGAGTGTGGGCTGCAAATCAAAGGGCTGCTGGCTCAATTCTCAGGGGACATGTCTTGGTTGCAGGCCAGGTCCTCAGTGGGGGCCACGTGAGAGTCAACCACACACTGATGTTTTTCTCCCTCTCTTTCTCCCTCCCTTCCTCTCTCTCTAAAAAATAAATAAATAAAATTTGTTTTCCTAAAAAAAAAAGAAAAAAGACCAAGAGTGTCACGGTGTTACGACTTATATGGTGAAAAAAGAGACAGTGAATCTGCCTAGGAAAGAGTCAGGGGATGGGATGGAGCTGTTAGCGCAGCTTGGAGCTGCCTGTGATGCCAGGGCCCACTGGCTCCATCTGGTCCTTTGGAGATTGCAGTACAGAGTGGGCTTTAGTGCAAAAGGAAAATATTTGTATTTCTTTATCTCTTACCGAGTTAAGTAGTTCAACCTTGGCATTGGTTAGAAGATTTGACGTTATTCCTGGTGGAATATTCCATAGATTGGAAAATTCTGAAATAAAGAAGGAGCATCTTATGATATGTGTTGAAAAAAAGCAATGACAGGGCTGGGCTGTTGTATCCACAGTCTACTGAGGGCATCTCTGGGCAGTGTATGGGTCTAGGAGAAATCACCCCTGCCCATTCAATGGAGAGATCTGAGTTAAGACATTGTCTCTCTCAGTCTTTTGTGTGTGTGTTGGTGAGTTCACAAGGATCAGAAGAGACCCTAGAACTAACTGGAAACCTGGTGAGCTTTTTATGCACAAGGAATTGATACCAAGAGATATTGTATTTTGCTGTGTATAATGCACACTTTTTTGCCCACATTTTTGAGGGAAGATAGAGTATACATTATATAGGAGTATAATGATTATATACCATGGGTATAATAATCCCATGTATAATGTGTGCAGAAACATGAGTGTACCTTACACACAGCAAAATATGGTACATAGGCATGTTTGCCCTCACTATCTTAACAAACCAGAAGAATTAGTTTCTGCAGTTTTGGTTCCATTTGTACTATAAAGGTGCCATTAGTCCCCTGTAGAGGTCATCATGAATATGTACAGGTGGCATTTTGCACCATCGTCTCTCAATGGCCATAAGGGTTATGACTTCAGACTCTTGATTATCCCAAACCTTAGTGTCTGTGTGACGAGAGACCTGGGTCCATCTCCCCTCTAAGTGGCGTGATGCTGTTGTTCTGAAGATACCTAGGGGCCTGGATTTCATTTGAACCTGTCCAAGAGACATTTTGATTTGGTTTCTATGTTTTGCCACTTCAAGATGCTGAAGTCTGTATCTGAAAACAAAGAAGTGCTTTTCGACCCAGACAGTGATCAGATGACATTGTGCTCTCTGCCATGACACATTCTGTGGTGGTGTGACTTCACACCCTTGCAAATTGCTTGTGACACTAACTCTTCCAAGTGTTCACGTTGATTCTACATACCAGCAATGGTAGATACAAACTTCTTCATAACTGCAGACATCACATCTTTTACCTCATCCATCTGAAAGAGATGGGAGGAACATTTTTATCAGGAAATCTAGCAGTTCCCCAGTTAGTTCTCACATTGGGGAAAGCAGTCTTGGGTCCCTCTGTATATGCTTTTTTTTTTCCCTAGTGGAAGAAGCCTCTTACTGGACAAGGCTATGTAGGGAAGTGGGTCTCAATCTAACTCCCAGGTCTCTAAATTCTTTGGGATTTTTGAAAATCCTTAGGTAGCCCCGAAAAATGTTTTTGGGGTCCTTGTTATGTCTCAGACACTGCTCTAGGTAGAGTTGTGCAGCTGTGTGCCCTCGGGACAAATACCGAATTCAGTATTGGGGAGGATTGGTTGTTGCCTAATGCTTCCTCTTTTGTGTCCTGTCCAAATCCCTCCCTGATCTGGTCCTCCCTGCTGGGCTCTACATACCTTCCTCCCTTTACATTCTCCTCTTCATCATGCCTATGATTCCATGCTGCCTCCCCTTTGCAGTCTGATTCCTTTACCTGGTATATGTATACTTTTCATCTGTGGTAAGTACTTGAAGCCTGAGTTCAGGCATCATTTATTTAGTGAAACCACTATCTGCCTTCCAGATGGTTCTCTTCCACTCTGTCTTCTTCATGCTCAGTGGACAGCTATTTGCATAAATGTCCCCGTGTCCCCATCAGGTGGGTAGTTACTTGAGGTCAGGGACCATGCCTTCTATTTTCCTTTCTTGGCACAGAGCCTGGCATATCCCATACCTCCCCGGTGAAAATGAGATGGAGGAACTCTGGGCTTGCCACGACTCCCAGAGTTTGCCTCTTGACAGATTCACCATTATCTGGAGGCTCAGATATAGGACACAGATAGTTCACCCATAGTCATCAGTCACTCACACGATGGGTGCTCACTGTGTGCTTCTGCCCAGTGTGTGGTTACTAAGTCACTTAATGATTTGGCTTGTTTATTCCTTTAATCTGTCTCTGTCTTCCCACTGAAACCAGAGGGTCACTCCTGGAGTCAGAAAGTTGCATTTTTAGAGCCGGGCTCATAGTGGTACTCACTAAATGTTTGTTGGATGATGGTATGAATATGTGCAAGGTCAAATGTGTTAGATGTGGGGTTGGCTGGTAAATCTGTCATGAGTTTCCATCCTTGTTCCTGGAGCCTAGACACTGGGTGCTCCCCTCACTCTTCCCCCTATCCTCACTCTTCCCTATCCCCTGGGCTTTCCTCTCCTGATCCATGCCCTTGCTCCACAGGACATGGATCGAAAACCTCAGATGGGGAAGGTGAGGCCATGGGAAGCTGGGTATGTTTTTGAGCAACTCCCATGGGCTGAGGCAAGGTTAGAATCTATATCATTTTTCATCCTTCCTGTGGACCCCAAGACTTCCTGGTGCATCAGAATGACACATGACACTAAAAAAGCACAGATTTCAGGCTTGCCTTCAGGTCACTGACTGAATGGGGCACTGCAGCAATGGACTTAGGGAACCAGTTTTACAAGTTCTCCTGAGAAGCCTCAGCATGGAGCTTGCAGCCCTATTCCGCACTGTGTCTGTGATCTAGTCTGTGTGACCTTTCCCTTTCCAAAGTCCCTGTGTCACTAAGTGTCTGGGTTTAAAACAATTTCTCATATATCATAAGTGTTTTGAAAATCTAATCAACTTACAGCCTCCGGGGGGTTCGTGCTGTGCATAAATCTGTTGGGAAACAAAATACAAGGAAAAATTACTTTCAAATAAAAATATGAACTAACTCTAAAATAGAGTTTAATTATTAGCTCAGTTACTTAGTAAAACCATTTATAAATTATCAAATACAGACAGGTGAATGCAGCATGTAAGTAAATCTTTGTCCTGAGTTCCTGGTAAGTATCCAACTACTTCCCAAGGGCCTTGTCCATTATTCCTCTCATGTGATTTGAAGAGGGTTCTTGATACTGCAGTATAACTGATAAATGTCTAGAGGAATTTGTAGCTATGGACAGTACCTTAGAATCCTGAGGTCTGCCATCAATGTTCCTTTTAAAATCTTGCATGCATAGGAGATGAGAAACCTCTGCATTCATATAAAACAAACAAGTTAAAAATAATACCTTGACCAGGCTACTCAGCAGACACGTCACATTGTGGTATGACCAACAAGGCCACAGGTCAGAACTAGCATGGAGACTACCTGATCTCCAGAGACAACCTGTTTGTTCTGCCCTGGCAGCTGAGCCCACCAGACTGATTGATCTCCCTTGTCTTAGGGTCACCCAGGCCCTTAGCCCTCAGGGTTATGGTAGTAACTCCCCTCATTGGACACTGTTTTTTTCCATGTAACTTCTGCTTCTACTGGTTTCTCTTTGCAACTGATTCCTGATTTGTTGCTACTCAGCACTCACCGTTAGCCCTTGGGCAAAGATCTCACCATCCTCATTCACGTTAACCCAGTAGGTGACTTGGATTTTGTTGCCTGGCAGGCTGAAGTACGATATTCTGGTGATGCGTGCAGTCAGGTTATTGATCTGTTGTAAAGAAGTCATCAGTTAGAGTGTGGAGAGGAGAGGAAGAAGGACTGCAGAATATTGTGTTCTGAAACAACCACACATCGTTCAATTCACTTATTCAAATATTAATTGATGCTGTAGTATGAGTTAGTCACCTAGCTGGGTGCTGGCATGGCTGAAGTAACCACACAAACAGGGTCTCATTCCAGACCTTGCTGTTTATCTCATTTTCTTTCTTGGAAGGACAGTGGTACCTATACTAGACAAAATTTTACTTTTCCATTACTTCTCATCCAATTTAAAGACTGTTCCTTTCTATGGCCTAGTGGCAGGCCACTCTGCACTTGAGTATTTTGGACAACTTTGTTAAGGATATGTTTTAGATTTCTTGAAATAGAGCCCTGCACATAGACCAGTGATCACTGTTTTGTTATAACTACTGTCACCATTCCTTCGACCACTGGGAGCAAGAGAAAAATACCTCACATGTAGAGTAACCCCCTCCCTTGTTCCTGCTGTGACTCCTGATAAGTTACTTCTCTCAATTTGGTCACCAGCAAAATGGGAATAAAGAATCCCTACCTCCCAGATCTGTTGTGAGGATGAAATGTTGTTCATTATCTAAGGACAAGTGGCTTTGTACTTGGCACATAGAAAGCACTAAGAAAACACTTGTCCTCTGGTGCCCTTGTTCTCCGTTTTTCCAATATAAACATGGATGCACATATATGATCATTAAGGGGAAATATGTATCCCGTTTCCTCATATTTGTCTCTGAAACAATGTATTCCATTTCCTCATATTTGTCTCTGGAACAGTGTTCCAGAGCCCATTTCTACTTTCTCACACTAGAGGTCGACAGACTCGGCTTAAGCACACAGGACAGGGGTGCCAGGGGCCAGGTGGATGACGCTTACCTTGATGGAGCTCTGCTCGGCACTGACAGTGATGATTTCCCTGAGCATTGTGTTCGATAGAGTTATGGCAATGTTGGCATTTTTAGGATCTGGAGGAAGGAGACTACTGGGTTTCAGGACTTTCCCGTTAAAGAAAGCCTAGAGAGAGAGAGAAACATCATCATCCTGTGAAACTAATATCAATTTCAGTGCCTGTGGAGTCCCAGCTGAGATGTGGAGGAGTGAGGTGGCTCCATGTGGGCACTGCAGTGGATGAGCATGAAGACGAAGAGCAGCAGACCTCCCCAGCCTCCCAGCTGAGGGACACTGGGGAGTTGTAGGGTACGTGGAGACTGCAGACGGATCTCATTGTAAACGAGAGAGCATTGCTTTTCTTTTGCTGATTAGCCCTGATGTGGTGCAAATCAGGCTCCCAGACTTGATTTTCCAAGAGTAGCCACAAATTCTATTTTTTCCAGGTGAATTCCCCATTTAAGTGTTGCTTCAAGTAAGGTGTGTGTGTGTGTGTGTGTGTGTGTGTGTGTGTGTGTGTATGCATTTGTGCATAACTTATAGCTCCTACCTTTTTTTTTAACATGTTCCTCAACCTGGTCGAACCTCCTTGTCAAGCTCAAGGCCATCTTGTCTATGAAACCTTTCCATAGATATTCTGGCCTCCACTGAATAATTACATTTCATATGCATTTTCATCTCTGCTTATAAAATTCAAACTCTAGAAAGCAGGAAATTTGAAAAGTTTACAGAAATTTGAAGAAGGGAAAAGGGATCTTGGGTGACATCTGATATTTCTCCTTATTTTTTGTTGGCATACCTAATATAATTTTTATTTTACTTTTAAAAAGTTAACAGTACCTTTATGAGCATCTTGAAAAACTTCTAATGATCTCATACTTGGCTCAATTATTTCCTTTTTGTTTCATTCTAGCTTTTTTCCTTTTCTTATTGTTAATATTTGTATTTCTTTGTCTTTAAATATATGTACACTTGGGATGTTTGTACAGATGGATTCCCAGAAGTGCAGTGAAGTGGGTCAAAAAACCTTGCCTTTCTTCAGTATTCCTTGTGGTTGGGGTGGCTGGGTGGGGTGAGTTGGCCCTTTTTGTTGTCTTATGTATTTTTCCATGAGTGTCTAAACCTGTGCTTGCCACAGCCTGTTGATAAAGAAATGACTGCCATTTTTGGAATGCCTCTTACGCATTGACAATTGGACTTAAATGGAAGGGAAAACATGCTGACCCCCATGTTAGATGCTCAGGTGTTGTGGTGGAAGCCTGGGAGATCTATGCCATGGTAAATATCTGGGGTATGAGAAGGGATGAAGGTTGCTCTGTCATGTCGTTAGAGTATATTTTGAGTTCAAGGGTGTTTCCAGCTTTCCTGCAGAATTTATCATAATAACAAAGAACACTTACACAGTAGAAGATTGAAAGACCTTGTTCAGATGCCTGGAGACTTCTAATATAGTATTTGAACAACCAAGTAGCTGCAGGAGAGAGGAAAGAGAGAATGTGGAGGGACCCAACATAACAGGTGTTATGTCCAGGGTTCTCTGCCTGGCTTTGGCCTCCAGGTGGGGGACCATCACTTTCCCTCAAACCTTAAGATGGTGTCAGAAGCCACACCATCTTAAGTGTCTAGGAAGAATCTTCAGGGAGTAAGGTGACACAAGAACTCAGCCCTGTCCCTAATGTGCCACAACTGCCAGGGGTAGGACAAGGTTTGCTACCCATGCCCTATGTTTTTTCTACCTGCAACTAAGCACTGTCACCAATTTCCGGTTTTGGTTGCAATGGTGTCAGCTTACTAATCAAGTCCTATAACCCTTGTATACTTGATATATATGGACATATTGGAAGAAATCTCCATCTCTCAGCCTCCCTGGTGTGAAGTTCTGGGGCTGCTCCTTGCTCAGGCTCCCAGGCATGCATGTACTTTGCAAACCATCTGGGCCTGGGACGTCACCACCTACACTCCTAAGGAGCTTTCGTTCTGTTATACCCTGGATAATGAGTCACAGTAATTTGGAGAAGCAGCTAAACTGCCACATTCTCTTCCCTGAGGGCGCTGAGGAGTTTGTTGGGTGCTTGCAGCTCACAGGCCCATCCTCTTCTGTCTGTCACCCAGTGGGATTCCTAGGGAGGGTTGGCCACCCCCCTGCATTGACCTGGGCAGCCCCTGGAGGTTGGGTGTCTGTACTCACAGTTTTTGCATTCGGTGAAATCACTGAGATCAATGTCACATGATTTTGCTTCTTTCAACTGTGAATGAACCACCAGTTAGGTTTGCAGAGGAAGTGCAGCAGGCCACCTCCTCTTCTCCTCCTCCCCTGTCCTCCTGTCCCTCCTCTTCTACTTTGGGGCCTCCTTTTTGGCAGGACTGGTTCTCTCCCTCCCCCAGCCTGAGGCACTGTCCTATCCTATTGCTGGGGTCTTTTGGGCCAGAGGGATGTTGCATCCCCTGGCCTCTGGACCCCTGAGGGCCAATGTGTCCTGTGCACATCTCTCCCAGCCTCAGGCCATATCTGAGGACAGGCTTCTTCCTGTCTTCTACCTGATGACGGATTTTTTCCATGGTGCCCTCCCCTTTCCTATGACTTACATTTTCTTGCAATTTAACTGTCAGCAGTTGAGAAATGATGTCATCCAAGGGCACAGGGACAGAAAGAGGCAAAGTATCTGTGACCCTGGGAAAGATACAGGCAGAGAGTTGCATGATTTTGCATTTCTGGATTTCACCCAAACATTGGTGATAACCCACCCATTGATGATATAGCTGCAGTGATGTCCTGCTGCTTAAATTTTGCAACCACCTGAGCCATTTCACCTTTGGTTTTCGTCATGTAGGAAGATGCAAGGATATCTGGGAAAATGACCAAAGCCAGGCATCTGATGAGTGTTCCCACATGGAGGGATTTATCCTTCAGATACTGTGCACTTTGGTGAGCACACTTGTGTGAGACCTTACATATCAGCATAGGGTACAAAGCAACTATTCTTCATTAAGGGACTAGTTAAATAAATTATAGTGCATCTTCATACAGGAGTTGTAGGTAGAAATAACATAAGCTATTTATTGATGCATCTGATTACAAGGAATTTTTTAATGTGAAATGATCGGAATATAGGTATTACATAATACCTACTCATTTCTGTGTTTGTGGATATATGACTACATTAGTTGCCTATGCAGGTAATATCTCTAAAAGCCAAAAAGAGGGACTGGATTCATTGGTTGATTCCAGGGACTATACATGGTGGGTGGGAGACCTCACTTTATAGCTTTCTGTATCTTTTGACTTTTGATCCATGTGAATGCATTGCTTATGCAAAAAACTAGAACAAAATACAAGTGTCCTTAGTAGGTAGGCTGCAGGCTTAGTAGGGGAAGGCTGTTCTGAAACATAGTAGGCTGTTCCCCAGCAGAGACCCCTTTCTGGGCCTCTGTTGATTGATCATTGAAACCATTGGGTTGGTTGAGCTAATCTATGAGGTTACCCCCCTGTGTACCAGTGGGGACCTTCTGGCCACTGGCCCTTGATCTAGAAAATGAGAAAAATATTCTCACATACGTCTTCACCAACTGAAGGTACACTTTGTTGACCTTGATGTCAATGTCCTGGACTTGGAGGTTGACACATTGGGTGCTGTTTGTGGAAATCCCAATTTTCAGAGTCACGTCCCCATTTACTTGAAATCCCAGGAGGCTGATAACAGGTCCTACTAGGCTGTGGACAACAAGACACAGGTGAAACCAGACCTGGCTGCAGGCTATTGCTCAGCCAAAGCGGTGGGCATTTTGGGAGTGAGCCTCATGGGTGTGTCCAGGTTTCAGAGACAGGGAAAGGCTGGTGCTTCCCAATGAGCATGACAGTGCCCTGTACACGGGATTCAGAGCCTGGTTCATGGCAGGCATTGCATTAAACACTGAAAAATCCCTCTCCTGGCCAAACTTCAGGAAGTCTTCTTTTGCCAGAGGCACCAGGCTGCCTTGTATCTAGCTGCCCATTACAGGTTCACATTTGTGTCTAGCACCTGGGCTGTCTGTTGTGTGGGTGACAGCATAAGAAAGACCCTCCATATACCACAACCTGGTCTTATTAGCACCAAATGTTCTGGAGAAGATGAATGGCTCTTCCTGCCACTGCTAATTGTATTGGTCACAGACATGTGCTCTGGAGGCAGAATGCCTGGATTCAAAGGCTTTCACTGCCATATGTCAGCTGTGTGACTGTGAGCGAGGTTTGTAACAGGTTTGCTGGTCTCATTTGTTTTCCTAATCTTGAGACAGGGCCACTTTTCTGATGAGGTTGTCAAGAGGTTTCAGGAAGGTGAGTGCCTAGTTAAGTGCCTGGGTGGAGCTGGGTCAGTGAGAGGTATGTGTGCTGTGTGTGTTAGTGCAAGGAGTCTTCTTCTTCCCAGTGTGGATTCCTGCCCCTCCCTGTCTTCCCATGTACCCTGGGCCTGTATGTTCACCTGTTCTTCCCCCACATGTTGACTCTCACTGACAGGGACCACTGTTAGTCATCCCTCTGTGCCCAGCAGGGCATCTGGTATGGAGTAGCATGTATTAACTACCTGTTAGGTGGGTGAATGAACATGTGCATGCAGGCATGTTTGTTTGTTAGCTTCCTGAGTGCTATTAAACATCTCTGTCTCTCCCAGCTGCCTAGGACAGTGTGTGTAACAGTGGGCTGATTCTCTTTAGAGAGTGCAGGTTATCTGGAAGGTGCACTTTCTGAAGTTCCAGTGTTATCAGTAGGAGATGCACTCAGTGGTTTCTGTGTGTGTTGGCCATCTGTATAAATGTGCATATTTCACAAGGAAGTGTGTATTTCTCATTGGCTAATGCTCTTTCAGGGTGGAGCTTTCATGGGGACTGCTGTGCCTGGTGCCTAATGTGCCCCACCCTCAGACATCCTGCCTTACTCTGTGCTGTCTCTGCCTGGCCCTCAAACACTGGATATTAAGGGCCTGGTCCAGGCCAACCCAGCTGATTGACTTGGAGACAGTCTCACCCTTTTCCACCAATGAAGGCAGTAGTTGAGGCTTGGACAAGGATCTCTTGGTCTGTCATCTCTGACATCATGTCTTCCACCGTTGCTTTTTGAACCTCTAATCTGCAAAGTGACAGCATCCATGGTCAGTTCTGCCTCAAGATTCAGCCTGAGCTACAGGAGAAATGCCTTTGAAGCAGCCAGTTAACAACCTACCAACCCATCCATGCCCTGGATTCCCCAGTCTTGTTACCCACCCAGTTCTTTAAACTCAAGAAAGCTTGCTCATATTACCCCACAAAGGGCAGAGTTTTAGCCCAGAGCTGGAATATTGCTTAGTGAAAATGTGGTTGTCTCTGTCCATGGGATCTATGATGGAAAGATGAACTTGAGTATCCCCAAACTTAAGCTTTCTCATGAGCCATACCTTAGGGTCAAGGAAGCACTTACCCCAGCAGGAGATCTTTCAGGTTAATATTTCCGAGCAGGCCCGAGAGTGCATCACTGATGCCACCCGGCACCACACTGTTCAGTATGCCCTCGGTGGATTCTGTGACCTCGCCCACTGTGTTGAGCACACCACTCAGGGGTTCACTGACTTGGCTGAGCACACCACTCAGGGGGAGGTTAGAGAGGAGAGAAGAGCCAGCTTTTCTTCCAGGATCCCTCTTTGCACCATTGGATGATAGGCTTCCCAGGATCCCTTGGGCCAAGGGTATCAGGTTACTGACAGCATCAGTAGCTTTTGAGAGTGATGGCAATGGGAGATTTGAGGACTTGCTGCTGGTCCCCTTGTCCTGGGGACCACTCTGGCCACCACCACCAAGGATATTGAGAAGAGAAGTGAGGTCTAAGAGAGACTGCAAGTCCAAGTTCGATACTGTTTCTAACACTGTCCCAAGCAAACCAGCCAGGTCCACTTCTTTACACTTGAGTATCTCCTCAATCTGCGGGGGCAGAGTGCTGTTCAGATCTGAAATGGTAAAGAGACATGTTCTTACCATTAGCTGCCCAGCTGGTTCAGCCAGAGGAGCCTTCCCAGCTGGAGAGCCAGCACCAAAGAGTTGTGGGCCCATAGGCACAATCCATTTTGCCTTCTGGACACACCAATCCCTGCTCTGCCCACCCCAAGGATAGACTGGCCACTTAGAAATGTACTAGTCCCCATTAAGAGTTAACATTTGTTAGCACATTCCTGAGGCTAGCCTAGTGTGAGTATGTTACTCTGAAGTGACGGGCATAAGTGAAAGGACCCTGTTTAGCTTTTGAGCTCAGTAGCCTAGAATATAACATAGACTAGGCTCTGTCCCTTGAAGGCTAAGTGACCTGAGGCAGGGTCTTTTCTGTTCTGAGCCACAGTCTCTGCAGCCATCTGTGCGTGTATGATGGGGCCCACAGTGTGTGTCACTGGGTGCTGGATGAAATGAGAGATTGCCTTTTTAAGTGCTGAGTAAGGAGGTAGGTGAGGGAAGTGTTGGTATAGCTGACAGTTCTGGAGTTTCCTGGTCTCTATCTGGGTGAGTCTGTGCAAATCCCTTCTCTTCTGCCCTTGTGTGTCCTTGGGAGGTCCTGCCCTTGACACGCTGCCTCTGCTGGGCCTCCTGCATCAGCTCTCGGCCTCCTGCAGCATTATTATAGGGAGGGTGGAGCAGGTATTAACTCTGGGTTTTTCTCCACACTGGAGAGAAGCAAGTCAGGGAGAACTGGAACCTCAGAAGATGGGGTGGGGAAGGGAAGGATGCTCAAGAGCCAAGTAGCAGAGCTGTGAAGTCACATGGTTCTATCCTGTCATGCTGCTCAGAAGAGCTTGCACAGCTGGAGGGTAGACAGCCTTGGCTGCCTAGCAGGAAAGTGAATTGGGCTGAGGGACAAGATTCCTGGCCCAGTAGAGTAGCAGGAGGAAGAAGTCTGGGTGTGTTGGCCCCTGTCAAGCTGCTGGGCCATGGTTTTTGGAGCCTGCCCACTGCTTCTTGTGCTCAGGGCTCCTCAGTCTGGAGGATCTTTGCCTGTTAGGGTGATGTAGATGCACCTCCATCCCTGGAATGTCTCCGAGAATGTCTTGCACATGTGAGCCTGGAGACCCACACAAGAGTGTTTCGGTCAGTATTGCCTAGAGTAGCACACAGTACACAAAAGCAAAGTTGATGCATAAATCGTGCAGGATTCATCAGGTAGAATATTGCAATGAAAATGAATGGGTGAAATTTCCCATTACGCACTGATGATTCACCTCAAACATACAGAGGAGAGATGATGCAAGAAGGCCACTTTTAGGGAAACTTTATAGCATGTAGTGCAAATTTTTAGACTGAGAAATAGTAGCCACATGTGGTAGAATATGAGGAAAGATCGTGTAAAGTTGATCAGACTGGAGGCCTCTTCTGGAGGGAAGAAGAGAGGAGAAGGGAGGGATATGCAGCCCAGTAGGGGTCATGGGGCTGTTAGCTCTATACCTGGTTTTCTTCTTCTTCTTCTTATTTTTTTTTAGAGATAAAGGGAGAGAGAAAAACAGTGATGTGAGAGAGAAAGCATCAACTGGTTGTTTTCCATACCCGAACAGACCTGGGATGTACATACCTGGACTGGGACCGAACCCATAACCTAGGTATATACTTTGATCAGAAATCGAACCAGTGACCTTTCAGTTACAGGATGACACTCGAACCAACTGAGCTACATGGGTCCAGGGGGTTTTATTCCTAATGTAGATGTTGGTTACAAAGGTGTTTGCTTTGTATACCTTTTCAGTTTTTGTAAGTTCGACAGTGAAATTCACCACTGCCACCGCCAGACACTGCATGATGGACACACAGCTGTCCTCTGCACAACTGGCTGAGCTTTTCTGTGTGTTTGAAGTAATTTGTAATAAGGGAGGCTGGTTAGAGGAGTGGAGCACATGTTCCTAGAAGTAGAGCAGTGGTGGGAGCTGTGAGGCTGGGCACTGACGCCAGCAGGCAGGTGCCAAGTTTCCCTCTGTCACCCTGTCCTGTCATGCTGGGAGGCCAACCTAGGCCATGGCTTCAGAAGGCCATTAAGGGATGTATGAGGACTTTCCTGCTGGCCTTTGTTTGCTGATGAGTCCTATTCCCTTCCTGTTCCTCATAGGGAGTCTCTTGCAGTTCCTGACTCCTCTGCTTTCAGGCTCTAAGAGGTTTCTCTGGGACGAAATTCTACATCTTCCTGAGCAGGAGCCTCAGACTAAGGAATCTTGGGGAACACAATTCTGGTCAAGGGGTTTGGGGGTGGACCTGGATTTCTTATTTTCTGGCTCCTGGTAATTGATGCTTTAAGCACTCATGGGTGTCTCGGCCTAGCTCTGGAGCCCAGCATTGACAAACTGAGATTTTCTGGCACAGCGTTCAGTGGATGAGGATCATGTAAGAGGCAGGCCACCGGAATTTGCTGGATCCAAGAGCTTCCTTCTTTGATGTGTGCTACCCAATGTGTGGACTATGACAAACAGCCTCAGCATCATCTTGGTCTCATTAGAAACCAGTACAGCTGTGCTACTGCTACGGCAGAAGGTCTGGGAGTAGAGCCAGGCAGCTGTTTTGTCATCAGGCTCCCAAGGTGATTCTGATACCACCTCTTCTTTGAGAACAATTGTTCAAACAATATAAGTAGCCTTTGGGCTTAGAAGGGAGGAGCACAGGTCAGGGGTATGAAAATTAAAGGTGTAAAGGTGGAAACAGTTCTTACTTACAATCATTGAGCTGGCTGCTAGACATGAAGAACTTGGCCACAGGGGAACAACTGGGTTTTGGAGTCTCAGATAGATATTTTATGAATGGAGATTCTTTTGGAATTGCGGGATATCTGAGGAACTGTCCAGATTGTAGAATGGGTCTTCCTCCAGAAAGATTTGGCAACCCAGAAGGAAGGCTCAGCGGGTCAACTGCTTCTGCCTGGGCAGCTAGTGTGATGACCAGGGCCCAGAGGGTCAGCATCTTGGCAGCCAGTATCTGCAAAGGAGGGCTTTGTCAGACTCCATATTCCCAACCAACCAGAGGGCCGCCAGTATGTTTGTACTGGGTGTACTCGCAAGGTCCTAGCTCTCGTAGGAGGGTGCCATTCCCATAAGAGATATTGTGGTTTGCATAGTGTACTCAAGGGACAATGTTTTAGCACATGGCAGTGAATATCTCAAGAAGGGCTTCCATTGACTTCTATTTCACTTTTGCATAAAGGTGTGTATGGGCTGGTGGTACCCTTTGAGTACAGGCCACATCCTTCCCTGAAGGGTCCCACATTCTCCTGCCAGTCTTTGACTCAAACATCCTTGGAGTGGTCTGAGTCACCCTCTGGGGAACTGGACAGTGTTGAGTGATCCAGCTACAAGTGTTTTGTCTCCAGTGGTGGTCAAGGCCTCTCCCTGTTTCAGGTCAGGTAATATATAGTGGTTTCTTTATTGGTGTGAACTTATCAAGGGCCCATTGTTTTGTGGAGTATGAACAGATATCAGCTGCTTTAAACTCTCTGCACAAGTCAGAGAGGGGAGCCGGTGTCCTCATTAATCAGGTGGTGAGACTTGTATAGAGCAGGCAGTTATGCTTGCCTGTGCCCATTGTCCAGCCCCCTGGTAGTTTGGCCTGGTCAGGACTAAACCAGCCAATCAGTCATTCCTAGGCTTGACACCTGGTACCTCTTTGGTTATTGGGCTGTCCTGTCATTTTACCTCAGTGTGCAGAGGCCAGAGTTGTCTTTCTGCGTAACCAATTCAGGTCTACTCCGTCTTTTTAAGGACCATCATTCTGTTTTGGGAAAGCACTGGCATGGTTCAAAGGTGGCATTAGCCAGTTCACACTATTGCACTAAGTATTTGGTATTAGTGTTAGTATTGGTATTTGGCACTAAGTGGGCTCCCTGTGTGCAAAGTGAATGGTTGAGTTAACCAGGCCATCCACCTGCTGTGGCCCCATCTGTGTGCAAGGCAATGTGTGGTCCTACTGACCACCAGCCATGTGGCCTTTTCCCCTCAGCTGGGGCTGAGCAGCCATAACTGGAGCACTTGTGTAAATGTGTGTGTCAACTCCACCTCCGTTGGTTGGGTATGTCCATACATATGCACTTACTGGTCAGGGTGCAAACGTGTAGTGTCTTATATGATCCTCCCAGCAAGTCCAGGCCCTCGGCAGTGCTATTGCTCCTCTTTCCAGCAAAGGCACAGAGCTGGCTTCACTCCCAGGCAGGAAGGCCTGTTTGACTCTGAGCTCAGCACTGTGACTCAGTGGAGGTCCCTTCCTTTCCTGACTGTCAGAGTCCTCCCTTCCTGTGACTCTCAAAGTCCATGTGTTTCTAACATTTTGGGTGACGTGGAGGCTTGTGTCTCAGGGCCTCTTCCCTCAGTGAAGCAAGTAGTCTCTGGAGTTCTTCTCTGTTTGGATTTTTTCCTCCAGACCAGTTCTGTAAAATGGGCCTTGTCAACCTTTGTTCTTGCTATGGGTAGGTGGGCGCTAACCACATGGAGCTGCCTGCCATTCACCAGCATCACCAAAGAGCCAGTCTTGCAGAAATGTTGGCAAGGACATAATAGGAAGCCAGTGACAATCCTTCACATTGAACAAATTGGGCTTTATGAAAAAAATCATCACATTCTCATTATTCACTAATTTTATGTCATCTGAGAAATTGGCATTTATTGTCTCAGGTGACATGCAAGTATCTTGTGAGGAAAAATAACACAATTTTGTGCCTGTGACTGAGTTGATGGCAGTAGTAGTCTAAAGACACTGTTTTTAGTGGGACCCTTTGAGAGTCCCAGTTACAGATCCCCATTTTCTAAAAGCAGAGGCATAGCTGGCAATGGTGACAGCTGCCGCACTCGGCAGAGTGCTGTGTCATTTCAGCAGGGAAGGGGCCTGGCTGAAGAGATTCCAAATGCAGACTCTACTGTTGAATTTTGATGAATCCCCTATGCTTGTTTCCAGCTCCCAGTTTGGACCCGTTCTTTCATGAATTTGGTTCAGTGAGTTCTTACCTTGTCCAGTGTCGATGAGTCAGCGTTGATGGGTGCACGTTTGTAGAAGCTGCCTCTCCTCCTGCTGTCGTCTCGATGTGTCAGATGGAAAAGCACATCCTACTTTTATAGACCAGCATCTCTTGGGAAAGTCATCGGGCGTGAAGACGTGTGATTCGAGTTTGCTGATAAGGGTGACGGGATATGGCTGATTTCCAAGATCAGTACCTGCTAATGGTTGTGACATTTGTCTGTGTCTCTCTGAGAAATGTTCATGGTGCCTGGAACTTTTTCAGAGGGGGCATCCTGGCCAAGTCCTGTCTGCTCCCTGATTTCAACCTTTACAGGCCTGTTATCTCTGAGTTGTGTAGAGGTGGTTGGACGGCAGAGTAGAGCCGTCTGTAAGGTCACAGATGCCCCTCACTGAGAGCCCTTCACCTTTACCAAAGGTGCCAGGTGGGTCCGTAGTTGGCGCTCAGCACTGAATGATGAAACTAGTGTGGGGACCCAAGGAGAGGATTTGGGGTCGCTTTGGACAGGGTGTCTCCTTGTTAAGTGACATTTTATATCAGGTGTGTATAGGAAGTGTCCCAACATGCAAATATTTGGGAATGGAGCGACAGGTGCGTGAGGACTGGAAACGTACAGGGCGTCTGGAGTGGGTGAGAGCAGGACTGCGGGCCTGGGGGCATTGTCAGCAAGGTTGCTCCATGATGAGCTCAGCCCTCTTTCCTTTCTGTGCTGGGCTTCCTCTCACGTATTCGTTATTTATCGGCTCCTCAACTCCTGGAGCCCATGCTCTGGGCCTCAGGCTTTCCCCTATTGTAAAGGGCTATTCTCAGTCATCTGTTCAGTTCCTACCACTGGAAGTTTTGTCATTTTGTACACCCTGTCACTATCCTGCTGTGCGGTGTCATCACAGCTTTAGAAAACGATAGCCTGGGAGAGGGAGATGATTTTGACCAAGCACATGGTTAGTGTCTGCTTCTGCTCTCTTGGAGTGGTGGGGTTGGTTTGGGTCCCTGCCTGGAGCAGGCTCAGCATGTTTGCTGCCTGGCCCGTCCCAAGCCCACCGTGGTTCTCATGCTGTGAACCTCAAGTGCAGTTCCAGTTGCCAAAGGCCCCATTATGGGCTTTGCTGAAATGTCAGCTGCGTAGAACAAATGGCAGTTGACCTTTTCTCAGAGCAGAACCAGGCATTTTCACACGTGTTGATAAGTAGGAGACAAAACCCACTGTTCTGGGTCTTATTTCTCTTGGACATTTGCGGAAAATTATGTGATCCTGTAGATGAAATTTGTGACACCCATTTGTGGGTGTGGCCCTTGCTTTTGGTGTTGTTAATGGTTTCTCTGGACCCAAAGAATGACCCCAACTTCAGAAGTGGGGAAAGGAATATCCGGGGTGCAGCCTTCAATGGCCCCTCAGGGCTTCCTGGTTCCTTGTCTTTGTCTGTGCTTCATCCTTAGGAGGCGGGGCAGCCGTCGAATCTGCTAATCCAGGACGCACATGAGGCGGTTTCTCAGAAGGTGGCTTAGCAGCTGAGCAGTAGGGCTCCCTTGTTGTCAAACCCTAAGTGATTTGACCTCCTGACTCTTGAGAGAGGGGGTCCTTTCAAGGCTGGCCAAGGCTTGGCTGGCATCCCAGTTGCTGGTAATAATGCAGGTGCCAATTCTTAATAGCCAGTTAGTAGACATGTCACCCTCTATAAAAGGGCAACCCATAGGTTCTGCCCCATCTTCCAGGCTCCTCAGATCCCAGTAGATCCTTGTATGACTCTGGGGAACCAGAAGAGACCTACTGCAGACAAGATGGAGATTGACTTTCTTATCTCCCTTGTCAGTGGGGTTCACCCCCAGACTTATTATGATTCAGAGAAAGAATGGAATGTGATGTGTGGGGACACAGACCACTGTAAGAGTGGCTGGGAGTCAGGAGTGCGTGGGAGCTGCAGCACCGGGCCCAGAGCTCAGCAACTGCCCAGCAGGTGTTCGCTGACCCTGCTATAAGCACCTTGTGCAAGGTGTTATCCTGGCCCCTCCGTGTCCCTCTTGGCCTAGCCTGTGCCTTGTAGATGGGACTTCCTTCTGGGCTGCCTTTCCAGGTAGTGAGCTGTTCTCACACCCCAGTGCCACGAAGTCATGACTTTTCTGAAATGCCCACCTACCCCTTCTTGCCTGGCCCCTCATGTAACTGAAGCCTATGTGTGCTGGGCCAGACCTGAAGTCTGGAGAACAGGGGCCCTATTGTCTGTCCTGAACCTGCTGACCTCGGGGAGGTCAGGGAGACAATGGCAGTCATGTTGCGTTCCAAGAAGGAAGGACCTTCAGTGATAAGGCCAACATCAGGAGGCCAGTTAACAATGGCGTTAATGACATCTCCCAGAGGTGACATTGTCTGAGCATCTCCTGTGTGTCTGGAACCATTCTCTCTCATTTCATCCTCACTATAGCCCTCTGTGATTTGGACTATGACTCTTCCCATTTCGAAGAGAAGAGAACTGAGGCCCACTGAGGGGAGGCCACATCCCAGGGTCAAACAACCATTGAGAGGGGCCAGGCGAGCACTCAAAGCCCCCAGAGTCACGTTGTTTAGGCAGCCCTCGACCCACCACATTGCCAAGATCAACAAACATGAGATCCCAGCCAAGAGGTTGTCCCACTCTAAGTATAAGGCCAACACAGAAGGCAGGAGGGCACAACCGGCTTTCTTATTCCTGATGCTTAAGGAGGTGGCCAAGACCCTGGATGTTATCCACAGGAGGTCTGATGTGGCCCAAACATAGCTTGGATGTGGCCCAGATTGGCTCAGAAGTGCCTGAACATGATGCAGATGTGCCTTGGATGCCCAGCTCCCAAGGCTGCCGGAGGCACAATGACTCCCAAGTTGGGATAAAGATACATTCCAGACCGCAGAAGCCATAGACAACTATTTATTTATTGCAGAGAGGGACACCTACAGAGTTGGTTTTCACTGGAAGCCAGTCTACCCTGGATGGCTGCTGCCCAAGTCTTCAGTGGAAGACAGGAGAAGGGTCTGGGGCTCTACACGGAGACTGGGGTGATCACAAGAGCGTCCTGGAATTGGAGAAGGAAAGTCATTGGGTTTTTTAGCTCCTTCCTTGTGATTTATGTTGGTTTGTCCTTCTCAAGGTGACCACTGGCACTGGGGGTCATGACCATGAACTCACTCATATGGAATCCCTGGAAGGGTCAGAGGAGTAGGGTCTGTGTGTGAAAAGTGATGCCATGCAGGGGTTTGGAGTGTAGGCAAAGGATCTGCATGCAGAGTGTGGGATTGTATAGGATCGTTGCCCCCAGTCTCAGCTGGTCACCAGTCTCCCAAAAGTTTCATCAAATGGAGATTCCTGGTTGTATCCACTGGGTCTTAGGCAGCTACATTTTAAACAAGACTCTGGCTTTAAAAAAAAACTAAGTGTGATATGAAGAACTTAATCCATTAGATTTCCCCCAACATTTTGTTATGATTATTTTAAAAAATATAGTAAAGTTGAGAGAATTTTATAGTGAGCACTCATATATTCATCACCTAGATTCTCCTATAAACTTTAAAAAACCATACTTGCTTTATCTCATAGCTAATCATGGATTTATTTGTTTAACTAGATTTTAGAACATATTGTAAAGCTATAAAAAGGAAATAGATATGCTTCTTAGTCCAAAACAAATGAATAAAACAAAATAGAAAACTTGGAAACAGTTCCAAAGAATGAAATGGTATTTTTCCAATACAAACTGTAAATGTTGTGATGAAAGTTGTTTAAAAGAAAAAAAGAAAGTGGACAGTTGCCAAATGCCCCCTAATAAGAGATGTGTGAAATGTGGGAAATAAAGGCTGTCTTTGTAGTTGTGCAGACACCAGTTGTCCGTCCAACATGGAATCAAGTGCAAGTATGTGTCTTAGATTAATAAATTGCTTCTACTTTAGTCAGGTTATTGTAATATTATAGTCCATTAGTGCATGGCCTGTGTATGCAGACATCTGCTGAGTTACATGGATGAGGAAGCTGGGCTCAGAGAGGCCAGGGGACCTGCCTGAGGCCCCATGGCTGGAGAGAGGCAGAGCTGAGACGTGACGGGGTCCTCTGGTCCCCGAGTCTAGACTCTCAGCCTCTTTCGGTCCCACCCACAGTACTGTTCTCATTATCCTCCATCACAGACAGCTGAAGGGTGGGCATGGTTTTTGAGGAGGACAGGTCAAATATCGACCTGTCTTTGAAGCTAGTTAATGAAGCCTCCTGCCCTTCCCTGCAATTTGACTCGGGTAGGATGGGGCACTTTTGAGACTTCCTTTCTTCTGGGGGTTTCTCTGGAAATGAATAGGTCAGGAATTCAGTGGTACCAATCCACAGATTTGGGCAAATCAAGTTACAGGTTTGGTCCGAAATGCCTCCCTGGTCTTTGTTTGGCTCCTTGGCCATAGAACGATGGGCCATTACCTGTGGATTTTCTTAATTGTTAATAATTGTGCTCTCAGTGTCTCTCCCCCTCTAGGGTGAACTAGAAACTCCAGGAAGGCAGGGGTTTCTGTCTGTTTTGTTCACAGTTGTGATCAGTGCGTGGCACATAGTAGGTGCTTGGTAAATTCCTGCCGGCCAGCTGATTGAGAGGGAACCACCTCACTGTCACAGGCTCATGTGGATATTAGGGCCCAAAACGGGGTTATCAGGGCAGGTGCTGAGTACAAATCTTGACTCTGCCACCTACTGGGTGTGTGACCTTGGAAATGGACTTGTCATCTTGCTGTCTTGGTTTCCCCATCTGTAAAATGGGTATTATGACAGATGTACCTCAAAGGGTGGTTGTGAAAACTGAGCAAGATGCTGCCTATACCCCAGTGCCTAGCACAAAATAATTATGGCTGTTAAATATTATTAATGATAATATCTGGGGATGATGCTGCTACAACTCCTCTCCCCAGAAGCTGCCAGAGAGTCATCTACTCGATAAGCATTTATTGAGCATCTACTGTGCCAGGCCTTACTGAATGAGTGAAGGAGTAAATGAATGACAGGAATAAGCAAGGTGTATTAACCCCAGGCAAGGATGGTTGTATTCTTCTACTTAAAGATGAGGAAGTGAGGCTTTGAAAGAAGAAGGGACTTGCCCAAGGTCCCCCATGAGTAACTGGAGGGGCCTGGGTTGGAGCACAGCCCGACCTCCCAGCCCAGACCTCTCCCAGTGACTGTGTCCTCCCCTGGGAAAGGATGTTTAACCCCACTCACCTTGGTCAGAGACCACGAAGCTGCCTTGAACCCCAAGGCCTTCACTATTGGCAGTGACATCCCAGGTCTTAATTTGCCTGAAATAACAAATACAGTCAGGGACTGGTGGGCTGGGGTAGAACTGGGCAGCTCAAGGCATGTTTGCAGTTCCCAGAGGGGGACTCGGGACCAGGCACGCCCAATTCAGACTGTCCCTTTTGCCTCTGCTCATCTGCTCTCCTGCCCAGCATCCACTCAGCCTCCTTAATCCTTGCCTCCAGCACTGGCTAGGGCTGCTCCAAAGGGCACCCTTCACATCCTCTCACATTTCTGATCAAGAACCACCAGGGCCTCCCGTCACCCTCAGCAGAAATGCTGAAATTAAGACTTCTCATTCTAATAAAATAAAGAAATGGAAAAGGCGGCTTGACATAGGTTACCAATTTTCCCCACCCCAGTGACCTGAGGCTTAATTAGAGTAATTCCACCTTTTCTCTTGACTTCCTCCATTACTAACACAAATGACATTTTTAATAATAGCAATGGCTGAGAAATGTTGAGCACCAACTGTGCTAGGTGCTGCCCCTCTCCCCCACACTCCCACCTCTTACAAACAGCATCTTCTTTATGTTTCTTGAGGAAAGTACTCTTATTTCCCCATTTTACACATGGGGAAACTGAGGCTCCGAATAATTAGGCAGCATATCTAAGGCCAGGCAGTCAGCAAGAGGGGGAATCAAGACTTAAACCAGGTCTGCCCGAGGCACACCAAGTGTGCTGTCCTTGTCTGTTTACACCTCCGTCCCTTCGTCAGCCCTGTGAGGCTGGGACATTGTCTGGGTCATCTTCACATGCCTGGGCTCTGGGACCAGTAAAGCAAGTTGGACATGGGAGAGCTCATTTGTAGATGGGTACTGGACAGGATTCCCGTGGTGGAATTTGAACTAGGGTGGCAAATGAATAAAAGGGGCCCCAGATGGAGACTTAGGCAGGAGAAGTATCGTGCCACCCCGAGGGCCCTGGGAAGTGGGGGGATGGGTAGCAAAGGCACATACCATTCTCATTTGGCAGCAAAACAGAGGCAAGAATCTCCGCACTGATGTCTTTCAGAAGCTCAGGCTGTGAGAGAGAAGGGGCACTGTTACCCTGGCTGAGATTCCCAAGTCCTCCCAGTCATTCCTGGAATGGGCACAGCCCAGCCCCACAGTGAGGACAGCTGGTGGAGATGCCAAAATTCCAAGTCTCCTGCCAGTCAAAGCTGCAAGAATTCCCAGGGGTGACATGAACCCAGCTGGCCCTGGGGTCCAGTAGGTGAAGGGATTGGGGTACATCAGAATGATGCATCTCCCCTCCCTGACTCTCAAGAATTCCAGCAGAATGTGCCCAAGGAAATGTAGCTCTGTGCTTCCCAAGGTTTAGACTTCTCAAGGGAAGCTAGAAGTCCTGATTTTCATGAGGAAACCTCCCCACTTAAAAATATTAGTCAACAAATTAAAAAAAAAAACACAAAGTAAAAATGTAAGGGAAAGAAAGGAAGAAAGAAAGGGAAAGGGAGAGAAAACAACAACAACAAAAAAACACCAAACCCTCAGAAGACAGGACTCAGCCATTTTCGGATCTGTGATTTAGCCTGACTCAGAGGGAGAAACAGGACCAGAGGGAGGGTCACCGAGATGAGTTTATGACATAAAGCTATATAAAGGAAATAAATATGCTTCTTAGTCAAAACAAATGAGTAGAACCAAATAGGAAATTTGGATACTGTTCCAAAGAATGAAGTGATACTTTTCCAACCAAAACTGCATATAGAAGAAATTTGTTCTCTAATTTTGGGTCAGAACTTCACAGAAGGAAAGTGAGTGTATATCTGTGTGTCTGGATGTGTATATTCTCAGCTATGTTCCTTATACAGTAGGTGCTCAGTAAATGCCTGAACCAGAAGGTTAGGCTTTGTGGCTGATAATATGGAGGCTGGCCAGCCCACTCTGGGGCTACCCACGGGCACCTTGTTGAAAGCACATTCTTGGCAATATCTCCCTTCCAGAGGGACCATCCTGGGCTATTCTGTTTCCCCAGGACAATCTGTTAATACTCACGTTGAACAGACCAACGTTTGAGTTCATCAGGTGCATCCGATCACAGCTGCAACAGAAGGTGCCCATGAGAATGATCCCTCTGAGTCTCATTCATTCATTCATCCATTCATTCAACAACTGTTTATTGAGTACCTACTATGTACCAGGCACGGTGTAAGCTCTGGAGATATAGCAGTGAACCAGATAAAATTCTTGCTTTATGGAGCTTACATTGTAATTGGGGGTGGAATGGGGGGTGGTCAGAAAACAAATAGTTGCCCAGAGAACAGAAAAATCATCCTCAGGTGTGAGGACCATGTGAACTGGGGAACTGGGTCTCCTCCTGAAGAGGTACCTGATTCCCAGCTCAACTGGTTACTGCCATGTAGGAATGTAGGCCCATGACAGGCAGAAATTCTGATTTTTAGATGTTGATAACTCACTTATATATAAAACTCTAACCATATGTGGGCTAATCAAATCATATCCATGAGCTTGATTTGTCCTAGGAGGCTCCAGTGTATAGCCCCTGACCTCCCTCTGGGGCAGCAGGAGGGTGGTGGGTCAGGGGAGAACAGGAGGGGGCACAGAAGGCAGCTGGAGCCCTGTGCTTCTGGACTGGGCTCTGTGACTGTCACTGCCTCTGTGTCGGAGGGGTCGGAATGGGCTGCCCAAGGCTGACGGGATGATGCTGGGTAGACTGTTCCTGCAGCCAGGGTCAGCCGCCCCATGGCTGCTGCAAGGCTGCTTCCCTTTCCTTCTCTGCCTTGAACACTCAGTCCTCAACCTTGGGACAGTCCAGGTAAGGCAGCCCTTCTGCCCGTCCTGGGGTAGCCATTACTGGAGGCTCACACCCCAGAGACTCAAGACGTTATGTTTCAAGAAACCCAGTGGTCAACAGGTGGGACTCATTTTCATCACCAGACTCTTCACAGTGATTTACATGTTTACCTGACTTCACTTAAGCTGAGTATAAGCTGGTCACCTTCGGTGTGAAACTGAGCATTTGAGCTGGCTTCCTGCAACAAGAGAAGCCCAGGCCCCATTTATTTTAGGGGATGAATCAAGGGTGGGGTGTGGGGTTGTGCAAGGAGGCTTTGAGGTCAAGCTGACGTGATTCTCAACCACTGGCTCTGTGACCTTGGGAAAGGGTTCAGCCTCTCAGAGCCTCACTTTTCTCACCCATTAAATGAGATAGTACCTGTACCCACCCCCACTGAACAGATAACCACATACGAGTGTTGTGGGGGATGATGATGATGACGACAGCAGCCAACATGCATGGAGCCCTCACTGCAGTAAATGACTGAAAAGGGGGAGCAAAAGGCCCAACCAATCAAGAAGGTCACAAGGTCAGAGTTGGGCCCCCAAAGCTCCTGATTCTTGAGTTTAGAGCTCCCTATACTCCAGTCCTGCTGGGTGACAAGAGAGGTGGAAACATTAAGCAAAACAAGAGTGGTGACAGGCACAGCAAAGGCTCCCCAGATGGCTGCCAACGTCATGGGCAATGGAACTCACAATGCCCAGGGTGAAGAAGGGGCGGCGGACTTCATTGGTGGCAAATACTTCCAGCACGATAAGTTGGGCCACCTTGGCACTGCCCTGGTCCAGAAGGAGCTCTGGGGACTCCTGGATTAGGATCTTCACAATCTGTGTGTGCCCCAGCTGATTCGCAGCCTGGAAGGACATCAGACCTGTATGTGGCTTCCCAAGTACTTTGCCTTGGCCCATAGGTCCCATGCGGCCCGGCCCATGCCCAACTTCCCAGCCTCCCTGCTTCCTCTCTGTGCTCCAGCCACACTGTCCTCTCAAGTCCTGAAATGGACTGTTGCTCTATGCATCTTACAGCCTGTGGTTTTGTTTCTCCCCCAGCCTGGAATACCCTTTCCTCCACCGAAACCCTCCCTAGTTTCCCAGACTCCATCAGGTGCTCCAGTAATGCTCTCACACCCTTTAGAATCTATTGTTTGTAACTGAAATATGAGCTGTGTAATTATTTGATTCAGGTCAAGCTGTCCCGTTAGACTGAAATCTTCATGAGGACAGGGACTCAATCTGTAAAAGTCACCAGCGCTGGAAGGAAGGAGAGTGACCTCACACGTATTTTTATTCCCCAGAGGCCTGTGGACAGACCACAACAAACACCCATCAAGCTGCAGGTGGCCAATGGACCAACCTTTTCACTGATCACCCTGATGTTAGACTTCAGCTGGAGGGCCAGCTCAGGAAGCTGAGGATGAGAAGAAGCCAGAGCAGGTCAGCTTGAGGGGAGAAGGGAGAAACACCTCCAGCAGCCGCACTGGTGGGATCCCAAGAACCCTGAAGAGCTGGGTGGGCCTGGTGGTCCAGGCCACATGTTCGCCACTGGTGGAAAACAGCCCTATGTCAGCTGTCATGGGGCATGGGGTCCTCCAGCCTGGACTTGCACTGTGGGTTGTTGGTGGTTGTGGGTTTGTGGGCAGCTCACTGCTCCCAGAGGACACAGAGAAGTGACCCAGTTCTTACTATAGTCATGAATGTGGTTGCTGGTGACCACTTCTTTTCTCTCATCATCTCAGCCCCTTGCCCTGAGTTCTAATCTTAAAGAGCTTGGTTATCTGTGGCTTGTCAACTGACTTCAAGTCCTGACACCCTCTCATAACTTTGGGCCAACCCCTTCCCCCTGTGGGCCTGTTTCCCAATCAGTCATTTTGGAGGTGGTGGCACACCCTAGCTGCCTGCTGTGCTGTGCTGATAAGAATTCCAGGGCTGTTTTGGCACCTGGGCTCAATAGGAAGGAGGACCCTGATTGATTAGTAATGCCTGCTATGGGCTCTATGGTGGAGCAGTGGCACAGTATCTAAGATGCCCTTTGGTTCAAGAGGACTGTTATGAAGAAGCAGGTTTATGAGGTTCTAGAGGGCAGAGCTAGGACCAGGGCTGGATGTCACAGGGAAAGTTTCAGCTTTAGAGCTACATGTCAGAGGCAGAAACCATTGCGGGGGTGGTGGAGGGTGTTCTCCATTACCAGAGGGATTTAAATTGAGCTTGACAGGGGATTCCGGCCCAGGGGCTTAGGGGTCCTTGTACCCCCCCCCCTTTGATTCAGGGAATTCCCATGATGCAGCAGAGTTGGCTTCATCCTCCGTCCCATGCTGAGGCTTACCACATAGTCCAACAGAACCATAATTTCTTCAGGAGGGATCAGGGCAGCCATTGCAGCATTTACCACATCCTGCCTCACTGTGAGGGTGAAAGGGGAGCTGTCCAGGGCGGGCATTGTCAGGGAAACTGCAGACTCATTGAACCGCTTCTTCACATTTTCCTGTGAGTCCAGCAATTTGGCCTAAGGAGACACAGAGCCGAGAGTGGGCTCGAAACTCTGAGGCACACCCACTAACAACCCAGAAGGACACAACACTACTCAGTCTGTTTCCCCTTTTGCACTTGCTTCCAGGAAGCTTAGCTTGGAAATCAGTGCCTTGCTGTAGGTGATGAGTTATCTCAGGTGCCTAGCAACCCCACCTGCATCCTTTGGATAATCTGATTTTTTCAAACTTTAAATGCCTTATTTGGCATTTCAACTTTTCCGATATCTCATGAACCCTTTGGGTGATGGGAAAATTAAAAATTGCAACAAAATTGATGAAAATGATTGATGCCACAGTTTTCTAAGACATCCATGAAAACTGGTCTGGGATGCAAGCTGCCCAGGTTGGGCCGGTCCCTTAGGGAGTCGAGCCCCAGTGTGTATGTAGCTCCATTTACCAGGGTTCTCCTGCCTGCCAGTCTTCAGTCTTATTTCATTCTCTCCTTGGTGACTATGACTAATCTACATTTTACAAATGAGGAAACTGAGGCTTAGAGAGGTGAAGAAACTTGCCCAAAGTCACACAGGCAGAGACTGGTCGAGCCGGGAGAGAAATTAGATCTGTGTGATTCTCAGTGATGTGTTTTGGTCCTGGGCTCTCGTTTCAAGGTAACCAGATAGTTGGGGATTGGCAGAGGATTGCCTGGGAGAAAGGCCAACAGTCCCAGTGCCAACTCTCTGGCCTGTGACTGGGGAATTCAGGGTCGGAGGATGGCTCACCAAGGCCGATGTTCTGTGTTTGGCCCTTCAATTCTACCTGCTGTTTTTCTGCATCAAATGGCTTACATAGGACATGTTCAGCCTGCTGAGATTTTCCTAAATCAGCCTGTGTCTTAACTGTGACCAGCATTTTCTCCCCTGAAAGAGACCCTTGGTGGACAGAGAAGGCCAATGATGTCCCCATTTTACACTCATGGTTCCATGGCACTCACCGCCAAGTTGAGTTGGATGACATTACCCTTGATGGCAGGAGACAGAAGGTCAAAGTTCAGGTGGTTGTAGCCAACGGGAACAGGCACTGCTCAGGAACAAGAAGAAAGCTGTGTGAGGGTGAAAGGAGGTATTGGATGGGGTTGTTTGGGGGCTGCTTTTGAGTGGAGCTGCATTATTGCATGGGGTGGGGTAAGCAGAGGGGGGCAGGAGTAATGGTTGATAATGACAATGATGAAAATGATAATGACTGGCATTTATTGAACGTATATTGAGTGCTGAGCTGTGTGAAACCTTTACATGTGTTAGCTCATTTAATCCTCCCAATAGCCTTAGGAGGTAGGGCCTATATTACCCCCATTTTACAGATGGGAAACTGAGACTCAGAAAAGTGAAATAATTTGCTCATACTGTGAAATTTGAATCCGGTGGTTCTATACCAGCGTCCTGGTTTGGAACAAAACTGAACTATTGCTTATAACTCTCCACCTCCCTACCACACTGATCTGTACCCAGGCAGACCTGGATCTGGCCACTGGATCCCATATGTTCGCCCTGGAGTTCCCCATTTGGCCGCAAGGTGGCGGTGGTATCTCAGCTGCCCTTGTTGGGCCGAGAATGGGGAGGGCAGCAGAGGAGGCGCAGGGATGGGCAGGGAGTAGGTCCTTGGACCTTCTACACTCACTAACATTCTCCCTGATCCAACTCCTGCCCCACCCCTGGGGAGCTGAGGGGCCAGATAGCCTTCCGTCCTAGCCACAGTAGCCGTAGGTAGTCTCCTCCGGGCTCAACCTGTTTACTCACAGTAAAGTTGGCTTGAATCAGAATTACACTTGAAATTTGAAGAATTGGGTTTAAGCCTTCCTCTATCACTTACTTCTTCTGTGAACTTGGATAAATGATTTAACTTCTCTGAGCCTCAGTTTTCTCATCTGTGAAGAAGGGCAATGATCTCTACTTCATGGTGTTGTCTGGGGAGTCAGCCAGGCAGCGTATAAAACGCCCAGCCCAGTGTTTGTTCTGTGGGTGTTCAGTGCTGCTGATTCCACTCTCTTCTTCCCATTCTCCTCTGGTGGCCTCTGAATGAGCCGCTTCAGATCCCAACACAGGAGGCGGCAGAGTTTTCTTCTTCCCGCCAATCCCCACTCTGAGGTGTCTGAGCACAGCGGAAATCTGAGGTGGGGGTTGAAGCCTGTGACCTTCCATTTCTGCTACTCTCAGGGAGGGAACAGTGACCTCCTTCCTGAGCGTACACTGGTCTCTTCCCTCGTTCCCTCTTCTCTAAGCCCAGAGTGGTTGCTGTATCATCCATTTATCCATCCACCAACCCAGTACATGTTTGAAAATACTTCTCTGTGCTGCCAGGACACCTGCTTTGTGCCTGGAACTTTCCTGTAAATTTTTAATTCTCATTAACAATCCTGTGAGTAAGGCCCATTTTATGTATGTAAAAGCCCCATTTTATAGATGAGGAAGCTGAGGATGGGGAGGTGGAGTTGGCTTCTCATAGTCATGGAACAAGTCAATGGTAGAGTTGGAATTTGCACTCAGATTTATCGGGGGCACCTGCTGGGTCACGTGGGAACTTGCCTTTAGTAAGTACTGGTGAAGTCAGTGTTGTGAACTCCTATCTGCTCATCCCAGGCAGGGATCATCTGATGCTCCCACCTGCTGCTCAGGCCTGACTGGGGAGGTACCCCGTGGACAGAGCCAGGGCCTGGAGGCCGGCTCATTAGTAAAGGAAAAAGGTGGGAGAGAGCAGGCACTCACCTCTCACCAGGTGCAGGAGGTCCTCATGCATGTCTTCAAGGGCCTCCTTGATCACGGGACACAACTGTGACAGCACAAAAACGGGAGCTCCATAAGCAAGGGGGTCCCACGGTGACCCATGTCTGGCCCACGTGGCCTGAGTCCCACTGCTGTGCCCGTGGCCAGCCAGCTTTTTGTCTATGGGGTTGAGGACTCTGATGGGTCCACTCCCCCAGCCAACCCAGCTGCTCAGATTCCCCCTGCCCCCTGCCCCTGCCTTCCCAATCCCCTGGTGAACCTGAGATCTTTTGCAGTGGTTTGCCCCTTGCCTTATGCCCAAGGTACACCTGGCCCACCAGGTGCCCTCCCTGCCAGACTCATCTTGTTCCCGAGAGCCCATGTTTTCATTACTGACTTTCTCCTTCCTGTCAGACTCTAGGACAGGCCAGCAAGACAGACCAAACCAGACTTGTGGACACGCCCTTCGTGTCCTTTGTGGGTTCGTGGCTCCTCCCAAATTGCCAGCAGTTCTCACCAGAGAGCAGTTTTGTTCCCCAGGAGATGTTTGGAAATTTCTGGAGACATTTTTAGTTGTCACAGTTCAGGAGGGGGATGAAATTGACATCTCGTGAGTAGAGACCAGGGATGCTGCCAAACATCCCACAGGGTACGGAACAGCCCCCACAGGAAAAGCCAAGTCGTACAGAATTTTCCACTTTGAGATTCCTTTACAAAGGCTCTCTGGAATGGTTTAGTTAAATATTAACTAAGATGCAGCTATTACAATACTTCAGAATATTGTACAATGGCATAGAAAATATATGTCACTTAAATGATATAAAATAGTGCTGACACTGAGCACAGCCACAAACACTTGAGCGCAAGTGGGTGGAGCCTAGAAGGCGATATGCAAAAGAGAAAACAGCTGCCGAGTTAACATAGCAGGATTATGAGTATTTTCCCCCTGAGGTTGTTTTGTCATTACATCATCCTTTCATTTAAAAAGTGTTCTATTGTAAAAAAAAATTAGATGACCAGGTAGTTTGAACCCCAGGTGGCTCACTGTTGTGAACATCATCTTGGAATTTATAGTGGAAATCAACGGTCAAAGGGGGTGAATCAACTTAGCAAGTTTTAACTTACCTTTGGCCTGTAAGGGACATATACCATGCCTGTCTCATGTTTACTGACTCAGGAAAACAAATCCAAAAGGACCTGGTGGGCGACAGACCCCTAAGGACCACGGGTTGGTTGAAGAGACTAGTATACTAGAGCCAGCTTGTACTGGTTTGCGAGGCAATTTGTTAAATTATCAAGAATGTCTGAGATGGTACCAAATTCAGCCATTATTAAAAGTTAAAGCATATAAACTTACAACTAAGAAAATTATATTGAAATCAAAGTTAATAAAAACTCCAAACTCATTTCTTCCTAGTTATTTTGTTTATCTTACTATTATCTCTTGCGGTCCTACTGCATCATCTGGTGGAAAACCATTCGATGGTGTGCTGCTGCACAGTGCTTCCCAACTCGGCTCAGTGACATCACTTTAGTAGCTTGAAATTGGCCTTGGAGGGAGTGTTTACACCAGAGAAATCAGCAAATGCTACAGATCTGGGCTCTCTCCCCTCAGCCTCTCCAAAGTCAATTGCTCAGCACAATTTATCAGCACATCACTGTTCAAGGTCTCCTGGCTGACTTGGCAGTTCTATTACCTTGACCTCAATGATCCCCTGCTGAAAGCATGATCCACTCAAGGAGGCACAGGTCCCTCAGCACCAGCTTGCAGTTCCACTCCAACCCTACAGGGGGAGCAATCTTTATAGCCTCGCGAGGTCCTGATTCCACTCACCTGGCTTTTCACCAGTTCGGGCAGGGCTGGCACCAGCAGTTTCATGACATTGTTGGCTAAGGGATTGACCAGGAAGGAGAGCCTTCCCAAGAGAAGAAAAGGAGAGAGATTAGGAAAGGTCAGAGATGATTGCTCGTGCTTTGTTTTACAGAAGGGGAAACTGAGTCCAGGGGAGGAAGGAGCTTGCCCAAGGTCACATGGCCGGCCATTAGAGATAGGGCTGGGAGTAGACACCAGTGGCAGAGAGTTCTCAGGGAGCAGGGGCTGGGGATTGTCATAGAAATTTGTGCTGGACACTGGTATGATGGCATCGCCCCCCACACCCCACCACCCCAAACTCTTGCTAAGGGGAAGAGGGGGGAAGCACCACATTTTTGAGCTCCTGCTGTGTGCTACATACTCTGCTGAGTGCTTACTTACAGCTGTGGCCTGAGCTAATTAATCCTCTTATTGCCCCTTGGAAGGTGAGGCAGAGAGAGGCAACTTGCCCAGCATCACCCAGATAGTAAATGAGGAGATGCATTTGCCTGACTCTAAAGCATGTTTTACCCCTGGCTCCACCCTAGCCTGCCTGGGGTGGTTTGAGGGGCCCTAGGAAGGTGGCTCCTCTCCACCTTTAAAAGTTTGCTCCACTGCCTGGCACGATGCCTGAAATTCCACCATTATGACTTCCACACTTGATGTCTTGCAGTTTCTTTGACATCACAGATGCCCTGAGAGGAGCCCCAGATCAAGAGTCAGGAGGGTTGGTCCCTTTCTTTCTCTGAGTGTCATTGTTCTCCATCTGTAAAATGGGGCAAGACCGCCACCTGGCTTTCCTCCCAGGCACAGCAGGGAGCCCAGTGGGAGGTGGCCACACTCACTTCCGCAGCAGGCTGATGCGTAGACTCCCCCGGCTGTTGGAGCAACTGCTGAGGACAAGGCGTTTGGTCTGGTTTTTGCTCTTGGTCTCCACTCGGATGGTGGCTTGGGCCTCTGTCTCCATGTGCATCTCCACAATGGTCTTGACCAGTGGCCTGGGAGTGACGGTGCCCAACGCTGTGAGCAGCATCCGAGCTCCAGGCTGGAGCAAACCCGCCGACCCTCCCTGTTTCTGGCTCTCTGACCTCCCTTCTCTGTCTCCTTTGCTGGGTTCTCCTCATTTCCCCATTTTACTTTTTACCTTAGCATGTCCTGTGCTCTCTTTAAATTTCTCTCCCGGTTTAAATCCTCTGTATATGCCAACAGCTTCCAAACTTATACATGACTCTTTATTCAGGTGTCTTACAGGCATCTGAAGCTTAGCGTGTACAACATTGAACTGCGGAACCTTCCCAAACCTGCTCCTCTCACTGTCGTTCTGTCTGGGTTGCTGGCCACTCCCTCCTGCCAGTTGCACAGGCAGAAACCTCGAAGCCAGCCTTGACTCCCCAGTGTCTCTCTCTCTCTCTTTTCCTCCACATTCATTGATCAGGAAACCCTGTTTTCTCCACCTGCCTCCCAAGCATATCCAGCACCTTGCCACCTTCCTGCTCCACAAACTATGGTCCCAGATATCAGTCTCAATCTGAATTATTTTAGAAGTTTCTGGATGGCGTCCATATACAGCAACCAGAGGGATTCTTTAAAAAATGTTAAGCGTGTCATGGTTCTCCTCTGCTCAGGACCCTCCACGGCTCCCATCTCCTTCAGGGAAAAGCCAAACCCTCAGCTCAGTCCACAAGGCCCTGCATGACCCGGCCCTGGCTCCCTGCTGGCCTCACCTCCCAGGATTCCCCTTCTCTCTCCCCTCTCTCTTTGCCATTCTTGGAACAAAGCAAGTGTACTCCTGCCTCAGAGCCTTTGCACTTGCTCCTTCCTCTGCTCAGAACTGTTTTCTAGATCCCTGCACAGAGGAAAGTGGGGATGCGTGGATGCACCTTCGGGCCTGCTGTGCCAGACTGAGGGGTTACTCACGTGTTGAATCCAGCCACCATGTCCAGTGGGATCGTGACCATCAGCTCCTTCTTGTGAGCCGAGGGTTGCACCTGCACCTGGAGGATGTTAGCTGAGGTCACTTTCAGCCTGGGTGGGTGCAGGAGAGACAAGAGTCATCTGAGCGCCAGCCACAGACTTGTTTCCCTCCATCATTCCCCCCTCCCCTGTTGCCCAGCTGGCAGCTGGACCCAAGCCCTGTCTGCTCACTCTTCCCCAGCGTGTTCTTGCCACACCCCTCCCCTCAACCTCTGCCCCTACTCACAATACTCCTGTGCCTCTGGCCTCCCTTAAGAGATGAATCCCAGCTCCTTGGCCCAACTTCTAAGACCCTCTGTGACCTGGCCCTTCTGACCTCCCCATGCTCACCTTGGGGTTTGAACAACAGCCATTCTGACCGACTGTCACCCCTCTGTGCCTTTGCCCAGACTGGTCCCTCTGCCTAGAATACCATTTTCTTCTCGTCTCCTGGAGCATGGATTCAAAGGCTCACCTGTCACTCAGACTTAGAAGTGTCACCTTATCTCTTCACCCTCTCACCCCAGGTGACTTCCCTCTGGAGTCACCCTATCAGGGCTCCCGTGTGACTCTTTTATGGTTATTAACTCCTCTGGGAGCTTCTGAGGAAGGGGCTTAATTTGCCCCACTCTGTGGTCAGGCGTGAAGTTGACAGCAGCCGATGTTTGTTGACTGATCAACTGAGTGTGCAAAGTGCATCCTGGGCAGAAGTGTGGGCAGGGAGCTGCCAGCCTGGCCCTGCTCCACTTACCAGATAATGAGGTTCAGGACGGAGTTTACCAGGCTGCCTAGAATGGGGATGCCCCCGGCCGGCTTCTCCCGCATGGCACTGAGCAGAGGCAGCTGCTGCAGGATGTTGGCAGCATCGTGCTCCTTCAGCCCCTGGGTCAGCTCTGGAGACAGATTCTAGGGATTAGGGTCCAGCAGGAGGGGCAAGAAGGGTGGCTTGGTGGGGGCTGCAGGCTAAGAGGGAGCCTCACCAGGACTACTTGGACCTGGACACAAGACAATGGTGTGGATGGTTCCATCCTGACCATGTCCACCGTGTAGACATGGCCTTGAGGATGATGGCTCAGATGGGTCACCTTCACATGAAGACTGAGGCCGGGGCACTCACGCCCCTGAGCATCGTCAGCCTCTGCATCCCTCCCACCAGTCAGCGGCAAACACTTCTGGACTCAAGAAGCAGGGGATTCATAAGGCCCTGTTTGGGGCTGTTTTGCTGCCAAAACCACACTTGCTAACAATTCTCTGGCATCCACATCGTATGGGCCTATTATCCAAAGAGTATCAAGTGCTGAGCAGAGAAAGGGGGAGGCAAGGTTGGGGGTTTGTGAGCCAGGAGCCGTGGGTTCCGGTCCCTGCTGGACGCTCCCTGGCAGCCAGAGCCCATTTGGCTTGTGTGCGGAGCCGGTCAGAAGTGCTGCAGAGCCAATGCTCAGGAAGCGGCCCTGGTCCAATGACTGATCGGAATCAGGGATGCGCCCCCACTGTGTCCCAGAGTCCCTGTGCACTATTGCCTCTGGGCGACAAAATCGCCCTGTTGCCTGCTCTGTGATAATGGAGATGGGCCCTGTAAATAGTCCTCCTTGGCCAGCTGGTGCAATGTTAAGCTCTGTCAGCAGAGGTTCTGGAGGGCCACAGAGGAGGAAGAGGCTCCTCTCGCCAGGCTCCCGTGGTCTCATTGTCTGGGGCTGTGAGTTCGACATCAGTCCCCAGGGCAGCTCGTGAGTACTGGTGGGCACCCCAGCTCCTGTCCAGGAAGTTTCCAGGAGAAGGCTTCCCAGGAACCCTGTTCCTTGGAGGCAGCTCCCCAGAGAATTCCTTCCGTTCCCCGTAGGCATGTCTCCGCCCGCTGGCTCAGCCTGCCCACTGTGGACCGGCTCTGACCTGGGGCAGCCCGGCACATTTCCCCACCACCCACTGCACTTCAGCCATCCTCCTCCCTTGAGGTCTGGGGAGGAATCCCCCCCCCACCCCAAGTTTATTCTGTCCTTGGATTAGCCTCTCCCCCGTCCCCAATCCTCTTTGGAGTTCTTTTTATTTTCTTTCTTAGCCAGTTTCCCCTGGCTCCAACCCCACTCTCATAATTCTTTAAACAAACTCAGGAGTTATATTCCCCCTGTGGTTTCTGCCTCCTGACGGGCCCTGACCGACTAACACAGTTGCCCAGTAGGACGGAGCCCCAGCTCTCAGTGGCAGCTGCACTGCCTTTGCCTGACTTGTTCCCCACTCTGCTGCTGGTGGTTCTTGTTTTTTTTTTTTCCTGAGATCACCTCTAAAACCAACCATTTGCAAGCAACTCCTGAACTCAGATTCCGCTGCAGGGACACCCACACCAAGGTTGCTCATCTCTGAGCTCCTCTGACTGCCATTCCAGGTGCTTGTGATTCATGCTGTGGGCCCAGGGCACCTCTGCCTGCCCAACAGCACCCAGAACTCTCTGCCCCCTGTCCCTACATGGGGATCCCTCCTCTGGCTACAGTGCCCATGGGGCCCTGCAGGACCTGGCCCCACCCCTGCCTATCCAGCCCCAGCCCAAGTTCACTGCATGCAGAGGGCTGGTCTCTAAGAGCTTTAGATGGACTCTCAGAACCGACTGATTGTCATCCCCTCAGGGGACAACACTTTGGAGCCGTGGTTTCCAACCAGGGCAATTCTGTCCTCTAAGAAACAGAATGTCTGGAGACACTTCAGGTTGTTTCAGCTGGGCTGAGGGTGCTGCTAACCCCTCTTGAGGCACAGAACGGGCCCCTACAACGAGGAGTTATTTGGTCTCAAAAGTCAGAAGTGCTGGGTTCAGAAACTTGACCGTAGAGTTCATAAAATCCTTGTTACTTCCTGTCCTATTGCATAGTCCCAACCACCTGGTGAGGCAGGCCCCCTTCTTTGTTTGCAGAGATGGGAACCGAGGCTCCCAGGGCCACAGAGCCAGAGGGCCGTAGAGCTGTGCCTGGGACCCAGGCCGCCAGATTTCCAGCCAAGGGTCTTCGCTCTGGGGGCTGGTTGCACACTGACTCTAACTCTGAGGAGGTGCTCCGCCAGGGGGCTTTGGGCAAGGGCAGTAGGGGGAGCAGCAGTTTCATCACACTCAGTGCCACACTCCACTTCTGCAGGCGGCAGAACCTCAGAGTAGTGGGTTTTTGCAATCAAGGAATTTAAGAAGAGTTACTTGGAATCGTGGACTCTTGGGATCATAGACACTCTCAACCTTCATGAGTTGCCCACTTGAATCTCACCTACACCTGGGGTCCCAGCCATGCCTTGCACACCCGCAGTGAGAGAAGCCCCCTCCCTTCTTTGAGGAGCTGCTCCACCTGCTCCATTGCCATTTGGTGCTGAGGGCTGGGCGGCCAAGACTTACTTTCACTGATGACTTCCGGGCCAAGGATGAGAACCGCAGGAGGGCTGAGGGTGGCTCCAACCAGGGTGGCTGCCAGCAAACCACAGATGAGGATGAAAGTCCTTGAGCTGGCCATATTCCTGAGCATCAGGGAGCAGCAGGTGGCAGCCGTCAGAACCTGGGGTGAGCACAGAAGGCTCTGTTAGCCAGGCAAAGAGGCCAAGGGCAGGTCTACCATGCCTGGTGACTTGGGGCGTGGAGTCCAGGAGAGCTATTTAGTGAAGTGATTAAAAGAGTGGGCTCTGGAGTCTGACTGGTGAGCTCCATGTCCTGCTTCTGCTGCCAGGTGCTAGTTGTGTAGCCTAAACAATCAGCCACTCTGTGCCTCAGTTTTCTCATCTGGAAATGGGGTGTAATGAAATAATGCTCTACTTTATAGCCCTTGGCACTTAAAACACTCAATGGCCCAACCTCAGCCAGCTCCACCTCCTGTTAATTCCCTTCCTGTCTATAAAGCCTCCAGTCATTCCAAGCTGCTCAAAGGTCCCAGAACATAGCCAGTTCTCTCTTGTGTTTGCGCCTTTACCCTTGCTTTTTCTCCTTCTCGTAATGCTTTTCCCTTTCCTTATTATCTACCTGCTGAACTGCTATTCATCCTTTAAAACTTTGCCCACACATCCCTTTCCTATGTTAGATTTCTCCTGCAGCCAGAGACCCTGGCCCACACTTGGAGAAGTATCGCTCTGGGGCTGGTGTGTTTCCAGGTTAGGAAGTTTGGAGGCAGGAAGGACATGAGAATTCAGGTGGGATGCAAAGTGGCAGGAAAGCTGTTTACTTAATCTGCAGTTCTAAAGGGCCTGAGGAGGAACTAGATGGCTGCTTGGAGCCAGGAAGAGAAAGGCAGAGAGGGAGAAGGAGAGGCCTGTGGGTGTCTCCTGGGAGAAGAGCTGAGGGTATTCTGGTCCCTTGGCTGTTCTGTCCCTTTCATGGGTGGAACATCAGCACCTATAACCTGGTCCTGAGCTCCCCAGCTTATACTCTGGCTCAGCCTTCAAGCCCCCATGGAAGCTTCTGCCCTCTGTGGACTGTCCTGCTTGAAGGGAGGAAAGATGCTGACCCAGATACCTGAACCCTTTCTTGGCTCAGCATGTGAGTTTCTTGTTGCAAAGGACAAACACAAAGAAACACAGCATCTGGGAGACACCTGTCTTCTGTGACCTGGAATAGTGCCAGCTTTTAGAGACTTTTGCAGTTACGATTGAATATCTGCCTCCCTGACCAGGCCACAAGCTCTGGGAGGAAGCATTGATTCTACCTGCTCCCCATTGTGTCCCCAGCACCCAGCATAGTGCCTGGCACACAGTGCATGTTAAGTAAGCAAACGGTTGCTGAATGAATCAATGGCCTCTGGGAGCCCTGGAAGAATGGGAAGTCTGAGCCTGCTGAACTGAAAAGGGCTAGGCCCCGGGGACCCCTGTCAAGTCACGGGACCCCGTTGTCCCTGTGTGCCAGGAGGCTCGAGGGTGAAGGAGAGATATCATGGGCTTCAGAGTCAGAGAGACCTGGATTGGAAGACTGCCTCTACCACTTGCTGGGTGATGTTGGGCAAGGGACTTACCCTCTCTGAGCCTTAGTTTTCTTACCTGCAAAATAAGGGATAATAATAATACTTACATTACAGGGTTGTTGGGAGGATTAAATGAGACAATCCTTGGCCCAGCATGCTACAAGAGCTCAATGTGTTAGCTGCTATCATTATAACAGTTATTATTAATAATACTGGGGTCAGAAAGAATGGCCTTGCAGTCAAAGCCAGAAAACAGAGATGACTCCCAGCACTCTGCACAGGTGCCTGGGAAGTTCCCCACCCCCACTCTATAATCTTTTCCTTTCAAGCATCTTAGCCCTGTTTCCCCTCCATTATCTTTGCACATCTCTCTGTCCTCTAATCAGAGACACCCAGGGAACCAAGAGGATGGTTGCATCTGTTCCTGTGGCTAAGTGTCTCCTCCCCAAATCCTAGCACCCCCCCCCCCACACACACACACCACAGCATATCTTGCCTCCTGGCCTTTGCTTATGCTGTTCCTTTCATATGGGATGCCTTCTTCTTCTCCTTTATTCAACCAACTTCTACTCAGTTTCTTACCTGACATGTCACTTCTTCCAGGAAGCCTTCCCTGACTGCTCCCCACCACCATGTCCCTGGGCTTTCCTTGAGCACAGCATATACCACACTAGCCCCTATTGATAGTTTCCTGAGGGCCAGAACTGTCTTATCCTTCTTGTCCCCAGAATCATCCTGTCACGGGGCCAGGCACAGAGCAATTGGTGTAAGCAGAATGTGTTTATGTCATTGTGATGGAGCCAGGGAAAGACTCAGCCATTCTCATCCCTCGGCACTGCTCTTTGGTGTTCTCAGTAAGGGAGCTGGGCACCTCTCCACTCGCTCTGAGGGTCTTGAGGTGCCCAGCTCCCTCAAGAGGCATTCCAGGAACCTCATGGCCCTCAGGGCCAAGTCTCCCTCCTGCTTCTGATCTGACCCCAACAAGTGTCTCCAGCTCAGAACCCTGATGGTGCCCTAGGCTTTCAGTCCCTTCCCTACACTTTACCTGGATGTGCCAGAGTCCTCAGCTTACTCATCACCTGGGCAGTGGGTCTGGAAGTTCAGGCTTATATCCTATATACACTGGGCTGGGCAATTACCCTTTGCATTTGGGCCAAGGCCTCAGGTTGGGCCAAGGTCTCCAAGGAAAATATTTGTGGCTTCTGTTGAACCACATCCTTTCCTGGAGGCAGCCTCAGGACTCCAGCTTCCTGAGGTTTGGAGAAAGGAGGTCTTAAGCTGTCATGAAGGTTGAGCAGGGTGCTGGGGCACACAGCAGGCAACTAGACCAGGCACATTGTGGCTGTGTTTGCAAATGTCCTGAAGTCCTCAAACTCCTAAAGGCAAGGCCTCTTGGGGGAGCCCTGCGTGTCCCTTGGGCACATATCCAGAAAGGCGAACGCCCCCTCCTGGGTTTCCCAGTTGGCCATGCCAGATGCCCATGGAAAATGCCTCTTTGTAGGAGGCCCGAGCCCAGTGCCAGGGCCTGGACCCCGCATCCGCTCCTGCTTCCTGCCTGTCAGCTCTGCACATTTGCTGGGGTCAGCAAGCATGACTGTGTCTCTGTAGGCCTAGCACGCTTTGGAACCCATGGGTCGCATGGCCCTGGCCGCAGTATCGCTCAGCTCCCCGCAGACTGCGAAGGGCCTCTTCATCCCGGCTGCACCCCTTTTCAGCTCCCAGGCCTTTAGTCGTGCTGTGTCCCCTTCCTGGAATGCCTCATCACCCGCCCCCTAACCCTGATGACCCTCTTTTGCCCTGTGAGGGCAGCAGAGCAGGGGACATTTCTGGAGTTTGACCGGTTTGACCGATGTGGTCCAGTTTCTGCTCTCGGGCTGGTCAGCTGTGCGGCTCTGGGATGATGGTTTCTTCCCTCTGAGCTTCTGTTTCCTCGGTTGTGAAATAGGATGGTTTTGAGGGTCACATAAGACAATGTGGAATGCTTGAAACATCCGAGTGTTTAGTAAATGGTAAATGGCTTTATTACTGTTGAAATAATACTGTTGACCTTCAAAGCCCAATTCAAAAGGCAGAATCTGCACACAGGGGCCTGATCCCTGCTCCATCGAGACCTGGTATGCTCTTGCCTCCCGGGAGCCCCTAAAGCACTAAGTACTAACTGTCTTGGGGCTTGGATCCCCCTTTGCCGTGAGAGATGTCTGTCTTATCCATCCATCCATTCATTATTCATTTATTCACTTACTTATCCCAGTCTCCACTTCAGTCTTCCTCTTTCCACCTCAATTCTCCCCTACAGAATCCAATTTCTACCCAACAACCTGAGTTAATTTTTAAAAAATATTACTCAGACCGTGTCACTTCCCTGCTTGTTAAAACCCAGAGGTCTCTGTAGCTCTTGTGTGAAAAGCCAAGCTCTGAGAGTCCCCGCATGGCTGGCTGCTGGCCACCTCTCAATCCTCATCCCCCACCCCCTTTCCCCTCTCTCTTCTCATTCCTACATCAGGGTCTTTGCACGTGCTGAGCCTTTCTCCAGGAGTGCTCTTCTCCCAGCCCTCGCCCTGGCTGGCTCCTTCTCAATCACCACGTTTCAGCTTCGGCACCCCTTTCTCAGAAAGGCCTTTCCTGGCCACTCTGTCTGAAGTAGAGCTCTGTGCTCACTGCCCACTGATAGATATCCTCACCAGCCCTTATTGAAATCTGAAAACTCAGTGCCATCTGAGGCACCACAATTCCACGGATACTGTATACTAAGGACAGGGGCCAGAGCACAGTGGAAGCAGGTGGCCAAAAACTGGCTGCATAGCTCTTACATCCCTCATGTGGGGCTCCTGACCCAGACTGAGGTGACAAAAGGGTCTAGACTGGGTGACAAAAAGGACACAGCTGTTGTTTGCTCCTAATGCAAACCCAGAGGGAGGGGGCTTTCCAGGGATGATTTAGGGGCTTGAGGGTCCCTGGAGTTGGGACATGAAATACACTGGATTCTCTTTCTTGCCTGAGACAAATAGGCTGATTAGCTGAAGTTATGGTGGGGAGCATGGCTTCTGTGAGCAAAAAACTATGGCTCTTTGCTTCCTCTGGACGGGGTCAAAGCTTATGTCTGTGTTTTTCCCAGGGCCTGGTATGGACCCTGCAGGATAGAGATCTAGTCTGGGGCTGGTTTAAGTCCTTCCCGCTCTCATCCCTGGGCAGGGGAAGAAACGGGGCCAGAAAACCAGGGGCTGGGGCTGGCACGCAGAGTGATCAGGTGGAGAGGCTCTGTCCTCGTCTGAGGTTACAGCCTGAGAGGCCTGGTAGGGAGGTTTGGAGATACCCCTAATGAGGATGCCCACTAAACTGAGCTGGAAACATTTTTGGCTCCCCGGAGAGTAGGAGCCACCCATTAGTCAGGGGGAGACGTTTCCTGCATTGTCCTCTGCTTGCTGCCAGAGATAGAGGAAAAGGGGTGTGTGTGTGTGTGTGTGTGTGTGTGTGTGTGTGTGTGTGTGGTGAGGGAGAGAGAAATAGAGAGAGAGAGAGATGAGAGACTCCTCTTCTTTGTCTCTCTCTCAAGCTGGTCCTTCGAAGCCTCAGTTAGGGGTGGAGGGAGGGAGTTTGATGTCCATTTGGAG